GCTGTGTTCATCCAGCTCCACAGCTTGTTATCTCAGATTCTCCAGCATCTGCAGTTCCTACTATCTCTGAAACATCTCACAGTATCCATGCTGTTGCTCATCAGTCAGACCCACCTCTGCAGCAGCATGGTTTCCAAGAATCGCCGCCCCTAGTTTCCCCTGCTTCACATACTGACCATTCACACTGTAATACAAATGAAAAGAAAGTAATCAATAAGAGATCCAGAACTCTGACCAAAGTACTTAATTCCAAATGTTCTAAGCTAATGAGCTCTTTATGATGGGGTAGAATTTAAAACACTCAAGGGCTGTAGATTGCATTTGCAATCCTAAATCAAGATAGACCAAGCATCTGTTAAATCATCCTCAAAAGTCCTTGAACATTAGTTTAAATATCTGCCTTAGAATAAACTTTTCATCAAGAACACATTCCCTACCTACACTTAAAAAAGCTGAGAACACAAAGATGAGTGCATTTAAACTAAATCCCAAACCCATGACAATGCTGATACACGAGCCTTTCAGTACCAACATCAGCCTTAACCACCACTCCACCCCACTTCTCACACAGAAGACCCTTATCCAGCCTCCGTTTCCCCACCCTCCACAACACTTACTATTGATAAGCATGCACTGCAGTTGCAAACAAGACGGCTGGAGGTGCAGCAGTAGCTGGTGGCTTCTGTGAACCTGGTCCTACAGAAAAGATAAATTTGTTATTGGTTTGAAAGTAAACAAGTTTCCCCATACTTAGTCACAACATTCAATGGGACAGCAACACTGCCAAGAGGATGGTTTGACATGATGGTTCACACTGCCATTTATAGTCCAGTTATCAAGCTTTCTCCTCTGGTTCCAGCCCAAGGCAAGATTAGGCCAAGCACCACAGCAAAATAAACTGCAGCAACTAAAATGATTTACTCCATCAGATGGGGCTGATCCATTCATTCACAAGGCAACTCAATCTGATAGATTTGTCATTGTAAAAGGGTTGTACAGTCAAGCACACTGGAATGCGAGCAGAATAAATATGAAAAAATAAAATGCAAAAGTTCCTTGTTTGTAAACAATCCAATTTAAAGCAGAACATGAAGGGAAATTAATCCTTAAGCAAAATCCTAATGCAATAAATATTCAAAGATTCTCCAGTTGCTAAGCAGAAGGATCTTGGTGTTATAGTCTTCTTTCAAGTGCAATAATAAGCAATGATAGAAAACAAAAAATTACTACTAAGATAATTAAACAGCAAACAAAAACACAAGCCTGTGTACAAGGCCTTGATAAGAAACAGCACCCAGTTTGGTAGAGGACATAGAGGCCCTTGCAGGGTCCTTGTGAAGCAGTGATAGTGTCTCCAGACAGTTCAGCTTCTAGTTCCACCTGCCCAGAGGGGAACTATAACATGTTCAAACAAATTGATTAAATTAACTACAGATGCCCTTGAAACAGTTCAGCACAAGGTCACTGAATTGATCTCCAACTCCAGATTCTTTCATTAAAAATACAATCTTGGAGGACTAGGGATTTGAAACGTTTTGAGGCAATGAGAGGAACATGTTCATTTCCGGGTTGCTATGACGTGGGTGGCCAGAAACAACATTTCGTTTTTCAGAATTGTGACGTTAAGACTAAATTGCTGCATTCACACAGACCACGGATTCACTGCAAAACTAAATAAAGACTGGACAAGATCCTAAGTCTGAGCTGTCAATCATTCAGAATTGCCTTGAACTGTTGAGGAATTAAATAGTAAACATGCATCTTCGGAACACTTCCATGAGCAACCAAGGGGAAAAATTATAAATCAGAAATCACACGACATGAGATTATAGTCCAACAGGTTTATTTGAAATCACAAGCTTTCGGAGCACTGCTCTTGCGTCAGGTGAAATGAAGGGAAGAGCACAGGCACAGAAATTTGCTCTGAAAGCTTGTGATTTCAAATAAACCTGTTGGATTATGACCTGGTGTCACATAACTTCTGACTTTGCTCATCCCAGTCCAACACCAGCACCTCCACATCAAAAATTATAAGGCCATTAAATGAATGTATTTTTCTGTCTCACTTTCTTTGAGTGCTTTTGCTTATGAGCTAACATATTGAAAAATGTACAAAGAGGCACTTTGACAGTGAAGATTCCTCCAACCAGGTAATGAACAGCCTGCTCACTTGCCTATTAGCAAGGAAGTAGATGGAACATGTTAGGCAGGCAGTGGTGGGATTGTTGGAAGGCAGATGGTCATGTGAGGGAAACTCCAGGTATAGGTCTAAGTGGGTTTCAACTTAATTAAGAAAGGGGTCTTCATATATAAATGGGCAGTGTGACATTGGAGAACAGTTTCCATCATCTCCATGAGCTTTCTGACTCCACAGATGAGAGGAATTTTGCTCTAAACTGTCCTCAGACATTTTGCTCAGACTGTACTGAGACAGAGCAGCGTTGGCAAAACGAGCTTGGATGTTTGACTCCACAGACCATTTTGCCCTTTTCCTCCACCAGGCACCATTCCATCCCCCAAAGTAACATGCATCATTGCTCTAACTTCACATTTTTACCAGGAGGTGGTGTTCCTCTCTTCGGCTGCTTGGGGGCAGTATACTGGAAGGACTCATTCCCCTGACCTGCTGAAGCCTGATCCGTGCCAAAGAGAGAGGCCAGTTTGGACCTGCAGATGGAAAAGGCAAAAGTTAGCAAATCATCATGGACATTTCCACAGTTTTTGAGCAATATGTTGAAAATAAAAAGGGTCAAGTAAAAGCAAAAACACAAACTACAGATGCCAGAAGTCCAAAACAAAAACAATTTGCTGGCAAAACTCAGCAGGTCTGACACCACCTGCGGAGAGATAGCAAAGTTAATGTTTCCGGTCTAGTGACCCTTCTTCAGAAGAGATACTGCCAGACCTGCTGAGTTTCTCCAGAAATGGACAAGTCAAGTCTGCATTCAACCTTGTTGTCGCATAATCAACAGCATTCTTATGGCTTCAAGAAAGTATTTTTTAAAAAGATAGAAGCATAAATTAAAAAAATAAAGACAGAAATCAAAATTCTTGGGAGAAGCTGCACATGGCCTGGGACCTACAAGCATATCGCTGGTTTCTGCCACAAACACAAGGAATAGTTCTGGAAGAGCACTGCTAGGCAACTTGGAATACACTGGACGAGCGAGGAACCTTTTTTAAGCAAATTGTTGTTGAGATACGGGTGTCACTGGTTAGGCCAGCATTAATTGCTCATTCTCAATTGCCTTTAAGATGATGGCGACTGCTTCCCAAATTGCTGAAGTCCTCAGGGTGTACCCACAGTGCATTTTTTTTTGGGGTGGGGGCAAAGAGTAAAAAGAGAGATAGCTTCTAAGGGAGCACAAAAAGAGAACTGATGATCCACCTCATGCCCCAATCTAAATGAACGAAACCTAATGCAGGACAACATGTTTCAAACTGCATAAAATATACAGCACAAGAAGGAAGACCAATTAAATAATGCAACCAATGACTTGGACCATGCTCCAGACAAGTTTTCTCCTATGCCATTTAAGTCTCCTAACAATGCCATCTATATCCTTCTATTTCCTTACCCCTCAAATTTAAATCACAGTATATTGTTAGTTTTGTATTTTAACAGGCAGAACACAGCAACAGATAACTTAACAGGAGCAGGTGGTTTGTGAATTAACCAAGCACTGCAAGGCTGGGAGTAATCATACTTATACAAAACTTTTGTTTACGTAGGACACAAGTAACAACGGCTTGGGAGAAAGCTGCGCAGACTGACCATGGTCTGGGACCTAAAAGCATATCACTTGTTTCTGCCACAAACACAAGGACTCTTTGCACACTGCCGTAGTCAAACACTAATCTCATGGGCACACTAAATATTGCTTCATGCACCGTATGAAGGGCCACTGTGCAGCATTGTTCCAGATACTGAAAATCTTAACTAAGCAAAGAGCTGGAAAACATTCACAGGAACCTTCTAGTTCAATATGATTCATCAAGGATTCATGTGGCCAAGGTGTTTAACATCTAGTTAGGAAAGCTAAGTTTTACTGGGGATTATTGGAGGAGGAAAAGTTCTTTTAACACTGAGTCCTCCATCTCATATTCAGAAATGGCAGGTTGAAAATCTTAATTCTGGTAGAGAATAAGGAAGAGATGAAGGACAGTGTTAGGGTGGGTGGTGTCAGAGGCACAGACTAAAAATTCAACGTGGGGTAGGATGTGCAGAAATGCAATGGCTTGACAAGTCCATCATGTAAATACAGCATTGAAGACCAGAAAGTCCCAAGTTCCACTGCTAGCTTGGTAAATCAAATCACACCACTGAGACACTGAACAACAGGATTCTTCATTACTGGTTTGGCAGAGATCAAAGTTAACACAAACAATCCCAGCATGATACTGACCTTTGGATTTCATTCCACATGTACTCTGTTCCCCGGCGTCCCAGCACATCAGCCATGTACTATGATTACACGGAGCAGAATCAGAGCAGCAAGTCAAATATCACACATTCAGGCAGAATGCACCAACCCAAGTAAAAAAAAAAAAGTCAGAGTTGCAAGAGTCTGACGAAGCCTCAACAAGTAGCAACGGTTCCCTCACAACTGCCTACATACTCATTAATTGAAAGCATAGGACAATTCTTAATGGAGTTAGAAAACATTCCACATTCCACTCCAAGCTCAATGACTAAACTGCTTTCTTTGACTACATGCAGGATTTTCTCTGTAATTGCTAACATTCGCATAAAACACAGCTGCATTCAAAATTATATGATCTTAAAAAACCAAAATGTTCTAAAATTTTGGTCGCTACATGTCAAAAAAAATTGCGACCAAAATTTTTGTCTGCCGAAACAAAATGTTCTTCTGTCCACATTTAGCGTTATTCAATGGTATCACAGCACACCGAAATCTAAGACTATCGAAATACAGGAACAGCATAAACTCTAACACTTTGCACCACTTGCCATTATGGTGGGAGGTATTTTCATAGAAAAAATAAGAGGCATAAACTGGAAAGCAATTCATTTTGCACAGACTCTCTCACATCATAACAACCAAAGGCAGGTCAGAGACTGGATAAACTGCAAATGGTCAGCCGTCCAAATCCCAGAGACACTTTTGGCCACTGACTCTGGGAGATTGATGAGATGCTCACCACTTACCAGGGCTGGAACAGCTCCAACACACACCATTAAAGTCAGAAAGAACAGTCTGCTATAACACCATGTCCACCTGCTTAAACATCCACCTTGAGGCTGAAATATGCACAGATCAAACACAAGAACATAAGAGCTAGGAGGAGTAGGCCATCCAGCCCTTCGAGCCTGCTCCGCCATTCAATAAGATCATGGCTGATCTTTTCGTGGATTCAGATCCATTTACTCGCGTTCTCACCGTATCCCTTAATTCCTTTATTGTTCAAAAAACATCTACCTTATCTTTAAAAACGTTTACTGAAGTAGCGTCAACTACTCCACTGGGCAAGGAATTCCATAGATTAACAACCCTCTGGGTGAAGAATTTCCTTCTCAATTCAGTCCTAAATCTGCTCCCTCTAATCTTGAGGCTATGCCCCCTTGTCCTAGTTTCACCTGCCAGTGGAAACATCCTCTCTACTTCTATCTTATCTGTTCCCTTCATAATTTTACATGTTTCTATAAGATCCCCTCTCAATCTTCTGAATTCCAATGAATATAATCCCAATCTACTTAATCTCTCCTCATAAGCCAACCCCCTCAACTCCGGAATCAACCTAGTGAATCTCCTTTGCACCCCCTCCAGTGCCAGTACATCCTTTCTCAAGAAAGGAGACCAAAACTGCACACAGTACTCCAGGTGTGGCCTCACCAGCACCTTGTACAGCTGCAACATAACCTCTCTGCTTTTTATTTCAATCCCTTTAGCAATGAAGGACAAAATTCCATTTGCCTTCCTAATTACTTGTTGTACCTGCAAACCTATCTTCTGTGATTCATGCACAAGGACACCCAGGTCCCTCTGCATAGCAGCATGCTGCAACTTTTTACCATTCAAGTAATAATCCTTTTTACTATTACTCCTACCAAAATGTATGACTTCACATTTATTTACATTGTATTCCATCTGCCAGACCTTTGCCCACTCACTCAATGCATCTATGTTCCTCTGCAAAGTTTCACAGTCCTCTGCACACTTTGCTCTGTCACTCATCTTAGTGTCATCTGCAAACTTTGACACCGTACACGTGGTCCCCAACTCCAAATCATCTATATAAATTGTAAATAATTGCGGTCTCAACACCGATCCCTAAGGCACACCACTAGTCACTGACTGCCAGCTAGAATAGCACTCATTTATCCCCAATCTTTGCTTCCTGTTAGTCAACCAATCCTCTATCCATGTTAATACTTTACCCTTAATGCCATGCATCCTTATCTTATGCAGTAGCCTCCTGTGCGGCACTTTGTCGAAGGCCTTTTGGAAATCTAGGTACACGACATCCACTGGGTCCCCACTGTCCACCTTGCTCGTAATGTCTTCACAGAATTCCAAAAGATTTGTCAAGCATGACCTGCCCTTCATGAACCCATGCTGCGTCTGCCCAATGGGACAATTTCTATCAAGATGCCTTGCTATTTCTTCCTTGATAATAGACTCAAGCATCTTCCCCACTACAGAGGTTAAGCTAACTGGTCTATAATTCCCCATCTTTTGTCTACTTCCCTTTTTAAACAGTGGCATCACATTTCTCATTGAGATCAACAGGTTCCACTGCAGCAATCACATAAGCTTTGACGATAGCAACTTCCAAACCTATGATTTCAATCACTGAAAAAGGCACTGGCAGCAGAAACACAGGAATGCCATCACCTTCAAGCTCATGGTTAAATCTCCCAAAAGCACTTGGACCAATATTACAGTTGTTTCATTGTCACAATCAAAATCATGGAACCTTCCCAACCACAAGGCAGGAGCACTTCCTCAACACCACGGCAGATATTCAAGGTGGCCCACTAATGGAATTGTGGATGTACCTACATGAAATGATCAATAACAATTCAAGGAAGCAACTCACCACCACCTTCTAAATGGAAACTGGGACTGGCAATAAAAACTGGCAAGTCAGCAATGCCCACATCCAGCAAGTGCATTAAAAATAAGTGTTATCGGCTACACAAGCTGCAGATCTGTGCTTCAGAGCCCAAGCAGCAGCTAGAGTCACTGAGGTGCACCATGAGGCAGAGAACCTGGTGAATAGCACATTCTGAGAGGTCGTCACACCTCACGTCAGGGAGGAGCAGACAGACAAGGTAAAGGTAACCAGCAGACACACCAAGAATAGGTAGGTACTGTAGGAGTCCCTCAAGGTTCTGCTCGCTAACCAATTGTCTATCTTGGATATCAGTGAGAGGGATGGATCCTCAAAGAAGTGCAGGAACAGCCAGGTCTGTGGCCCAGTTGGCCCAATGGTGCAGGTGGGAAGAAACACGAGCAGAAGGATAGCACTTTTTGGAGGATTCTTCTGGTGGGGAACAGACACACATTTCTCAACGTCAACACAACTTCAGAATTTGTTGCCTCCTTGGTACTAGAGTCAGGGATGTTGCAGATTGGCTAGAGAACATTCTGCTGGCAGAATGTGTAAAGCCTGAGGTCAGTCGGTATCAATGTGAATCACGA